CCGATCCCAGGAAGAAGCATTAAAACGGTGGTAAATACAAGTGCCTGTATATAATTTGTAAATAAATCTCACCTAAGGATTGTAAATAAAATTCTTCGCTATACTAAAAATCATAATCCAATGATACGAACTTAATCTTAAAAGGCGTGGGAAAGAAATACGCGACATCATAAAGGGTATTTGGAATGTTTAAAACAGTGCGTTGCGTTGAGAAGATGAGCGAAGCGTTTGTTCAATTAACATGGAAAACGCAGTCGAATCAAGTTCTTTCCCTGAATTTATTAGTCCATCTCAATAAGCTACAAACAACTTGTTATACATTTATCCGTTCATATTATTCAGACAACGACAGATCCACGGACCTGGCTTATGGTTGTAGTTAATAGGGTGAGAGCTCGATTGGTAAACCTCGTAACATACTTAACGATTGGGCATACATCGCCCAAGCACTGGCTGCTCACTCTGTCTTTATCTCCTCCCCATTTCTATCTAATCATCACTAGTGCTACGGACGCCTATAATGCATATATAATAGTATTCAAAATAATTGATATCGTCAAACCTGAATTGTTTTTATGGATCCAAATGAAATATGTCACTTAAGTTCGTACAGTAAATTTCGAAGGAATCTTAAGTCAATTGGATGCAAAACTTGAGAAGAAAATGATGCTGACATTGAAGGAGCTGCTATTGGATTTAACATATATGCCTGATATTCAGGAGACTATCTTTCATATCAAAAACTCGTACAAGTGATCTAAAGCAGCCGCAATAGAACTCTTTTTATAGTCAAAATAATTTAATGGATAATTGAAATAACTTGAAGAGATGCTATATACTGCAAATTATATAAATCTGAAGCAAAGATCAGATCAGCGAAAAAATATATTTGAAGGCATTTATATATATATATGTTTTTGCACCCCATACTTGTGATAGAACCACAATTCATTATACCGATACATCCCCGAATGACCTTCTGGGTCGATCTAAGCTGATTTGTTCGTCTGTCCGTGTGTCCGTCTTGTTTTCGATGTTCAATTTACACTGATGAAATTTAGTGCACTCACGTGCCTTGGCCTAAGAGCGAACACTACTGAAAATGGTTGGTATCGTATCACTTTTTCACCGATATCTCGCCTAATGCCTTACTTTGAAAAGCCATTATATGAATAGCTCTAGGATGAAGTAGGGTATTTTACGGTGTGACGCGGCCCGATATCGTCTTTTTATCATTTCTTTTTAACCATCAAGACGACAAAATTTTATCTGGTGGTTTTATCTGGTATGTTGTTGTTATCTTCTTCTTCTTCTTGGTCTATACCACTTTCATATATGCTATATCTTTTCTTTTTGCGATTTGCGAGTCACGTCTTTGCGATTAAACTTAAAGTGAATACGTTTGTCGATTTGATGGGTAAGGAAGAAAAGAAAGAAAGTTCATAGATGAAAAGGCGTAAAATCGACTAAAATTAGGTTTTGTCTGTCGGTTCATCTATTTTCACTTGTCTTATATCTATCGTAATAACTTGTTTTATTTATTTATTTATTAATTTTTTTTTTTTTTTTGGGCCTTGGGGAATAGGTTTTGGAAACTTTCTCAAAGCAAAACTTACATACATAAAATAATATATAACAAAATGTAACGAGAGGTACATTAGAATGGAGAAAAAGGCCTTCTGCCCGTTTAATTCGCATTAATTCGCGATTTTTTTTAAAATCCGTTTTTTATTATAAATTACGCTTACCGTATAAACGTATTGTGCCTTCGGTGTCCCCAATGCTATTCTTCGATATGCATTTATAGCCACCAAAATCAGTTGATTGCAAACGCTTGATATGTAAAATCATTTCGACGGCGTACATATTGACTTCCTTCTCAGTTAATACATATCTTTCTCCAGCAATTATCATTTCGCCTGAAGACAAGAAACAAAGCAAAATTCCACTTAAACGATTTACAAAATTTTAAATGAGAGAGAGAGAGAGAGAGAGAGAGAGAGAGATGAAAATAAAATGAAAACAAAGCAAAAGAAAAAGAAGGAACAGAGAAACTATTATGATTTATTATTATAAACTGATAAAGGGGGAAAAATCGTAATCAAGTACAAGTCATCATACAATCACGAATAATCTGAAAATAATGGCAATAGCGACGAGCGACGAGCGACGACCGACGACCGACGAACGACGAGCGATAAAAGGGGGAAAGGAAAATTTATTACTTTTGATGTTATCAGGTATTAAACGATTATGGTTGTATAAGAGTTAAATATTTGAGAGATGACAAATTTTGTGGATATATCAACATGACTTGCAAGTGTAAGAGCAAGTGCTAGTATAGTGGCCACGTTTGCAATAAATGTCATATGCACTCGTGTCATTTCGTTTGACAAGATGAAGAAGAAAGAAAAAATATTTTTTTTTGGGTTTTTTTTTTTTTTTTTTTTTTTTCCCCTTTTTTTTTTTTTTTTTTTTTTTTTGCTCACTCAAACACCACGTTGCTTAAAGCTTAATGAAGAATGAGGTTTACCATCACATGAATGAGAGAAGTAAACTTTTTTTTCTTCCCAGTGTTTGTTTTTTTTTTTGCTTTTATTTTCTTTTCACTCTTCTCTTGTTTTTGGCTTGTAGTCACTAAGCACGAACTTAATAAAGACAAATTGTGGCAAAATGAAAAATGGTTTTTCTCTGCTCTCCAAGTGGAAAATTGAAAAATTTATTTCATGACAATGAAGAAAACACACACAAATATATTTTTCTAGTTGAATACATATATATATATATAAACTAAAGTAAAACTTACCGTTTTCTCTTTGCCAATAATTGATGGCTTTCGGAGAGGCCTCCACATTGCAAATTAAAGTAACATCTGTCAAGACCGGGGCGCCCACCAATTGATTTGGCACTTGTACCAACGGATGAACTACATAAAAAAAAAAAAAATAAATAAATAAAAACAAAAACAATAACAAAGAGAACAATGCATACAAACGCAAGCAAGAACTACATGTTTAAATAAATTTGTGGTATTTTGTTTATTTTCCAATAAATTTATCTAAAAATCTCCGTTCTCTTCACATTCTTAAATTGAATTCAACCGCAGCTGTTAGTTTTGGAAAACGTTTTCAAAAAACAAAACACAAAAAAAATTGCATTCTTTCTCCTTTTCGGAGTTCAACAGTCAATGTGTTGCAGTTGCCGGTAGCAGTTTAGTTGTTGGCTTTTCTTCTTCGTCTTTTTCTTTTTCTTTTTTTTTTTTTTTTTTTCTTCCTTTTCTCCGTACTTTTCTACACATATACACATATCTATGTAAAATAATTTATGTTCGATTTGTGCAGCAGATTGATGCGATTTTAATTGAAAATGGATTAGTTTGTTAAGCAAGTGGTACATGTTAAAATCAATTTGAAATCTGTTGCTTCTTCTTTAAGTTTCAATTAAAATGATGTAAATTTCTTATCTATAAACTTTTTTAAATAAACAAACCAACAAACAAACAAACAATCGCAATAATTGCTATTGTAATAACTTTTAATAGAGCAAAGCGTATGTGCTTCAGAAGCACATTCAGCGCGTATTATAAGCAATCACGTCTTTATGTCTTTGTTCAATATAGCCGTGTAATATGCGATAATGAATAAAGACATTAGAATTGCCAGCACATTTCAACAATAGATCTCTTTCACGATATATTCGCTTAGATGCGTAGAAAGCTGATATGAATGGGAGGAGCTCGTGAATGCCAATCGTCCGTCGGCATTACATTCCGGATGCTAATAAACTGGCTGTTGATGTGTTCAACTTATTTTTTATTTCCCAATGATTTTCTCTTCCACTTTTTTCTTCTTCTATATATTTATCAATTTCACTGCATGTTCTGCTCATATTTCAAAGTTTTTGATTTCTTTAGTCTAGACTAAATGGCATTCATCGAAAAAATCCTAAAAATTTATCATTTCCAACTGCCGAAATAGAAAGATCGCACACATCCTTCTATACATTTAAATTTTTCCTCTTGCCCACAATACAATAATATAAAGCGAGAACACTCTTGTTCTCAAAAGCAAAAATATTGAATTTTCAACTCATTGCACATAAACGAGACCAGAAACAATCATAAAAATCTTGCACATATATTCTACGGATTAGACTATGGTATCCAAATCGAACAAGTCGCCCGTGCCCGCTCTTTATTATAGATTATCGAAAATGCATTTTTTTTTTTTTTTTTTTTTTTAACAAAACTGTTGGGCATAGGAGATTGGGCCACGCGTAAATATAATTTCCTTAATTGTTTTAATTTCATAGTAAAAAATCGTAAGACTATGAACTGATCTTTATAATATTTTACTGGACAGTTTGTTGGTTTCTAATTGAGAAACAAATTCATTATCATTTACAAATGATTTGTAGTGAATTCATCATGAATATAATATCCGATAAAGAATCCGATTTTTTCATTCCTTTTGCTAAAAACGCATACCATATATTTTTTGTTGTTGTTTGTAATGTGAATAGGTCCAAAACTCTGCCCATAGCACTCTATGCAAGCAAACAATTTTAATTGCTTAGCATTCCAAATTTCTGGTTAATTGTAATGACCGTTGATGGGTTAGTGAGCTTGCATAAGTGAGCTTCAACATAAGTGATGCTGTTTTATTTTTTAACCTAAAGTGAACACGACAGGGAGCCATTTGTCCCCATTGCCTCGTTATCAAATGCAAATAAAATGAAAGTTTCAAATATATTTTCATCCGGCATATATGTATATTAACTTTTTATAAGTGTTTTTGTTAAAATGGTTCGCAAACTCCCTTTAGATTAACAAAAAAAAAAAAAAAATGCAAGCATTTATCCAGTATTCGGCATGACAAGAGCGTTCCCTTTACGCTTATTTTATGTTGATTTGCTTTACTTTTATGTTTACTTATTATCGTTTGTCTACTTATGTCCTTAGGTGGTACTTTCAATATTTGTCTATAAAATCGATTACATACAGATAATTGTCTATGTTTAAACTTTTACTGTTGTTTACAAAAACAACAGAAGGGAAATGATGATGGTTTAGATTCACTACGCCCTCTCTCCCTCTCTCTCTCTCTTTCTCGCTTTCTCTCTGTGTATGTAGGCATGTGTGTTATATATTGTTTCATTTTTCTCTTAAGCGATATGATATCCCGATGTTGTCGGTACATTTTGTCGCTCTATTGCTATAAAATTCATTATTAATCAATCTATTATATGATCCGGTTATTTTGAAAGTGAGGCATGTCTATTTTCTTTCTTATTTATTTATTTTTTTTTTTGACTAAAAATTGCTTACACATATTAAGTTTGCTCCACTGTCATAATAATAAACGGCTAATAAATGCATATCCTTGGCAATAAAGTTTGTTATAATGTAACGCCATTGTCGACTTTTCACGAAATTATTTTCTTATCTTCTGAATTACTTGTCGTACTGCTATGCATTAAGTTTGTGCGCACGTATACGACACGTAGAACCAATTGCGATAAATTCACCTTTCATTCCATTTCATGGCGATCAAGTCCGGAATCACATTGTGCATCGATCTAAGCTTATCTGTCCGTCCGTCTTGCCATCATTTTTTCAACCACTTACCTTGTAAGGCATTATTTTGAAAAGTCACAGCTTGTTTTTATTGCCGCAATAGATGCTTTACGTTTTTGAGAGTATATGCAAAAAAAAAAACAAACACTCATGATACAAACGAAATTTTTCCCTTGAAATTTCGAAAACTCCACAGCGACTATTTGCCGTTGAAGCCAAGAATTTTCTTTAATTTCTTTAATTCCCGGACAAATATCTTTAGAAAGACATTATATTCATTAGTCAAGCTATTATGAACAATAATACTTTAGAGTAGGTTTGAGATTGAGAGTGAACTCGAAAAAGACTCATTTTTGATGTCAGCCAATTAAAAGTGGTCTGTGTGCCGTAGAGCTACTTAAATTAAATATGCATGATGAGGATTGCTATGTTGTTGTTTTGTTTTACCAAAAAAAAAAGAAAATGTTGTTTTTGTAAATATTATCATTCATCTTAACTCAGTCAAAATTATATAAAGGTGTAGTCGCTGGAAGAGCTCGAGGCCATACCAAAAAGCGTACACTGACACTAACACAAGTTTATTATAATATATCCAAGTGGGATTACTTTGAATCGGACAAAGTGGATATTATCGGAGAAAAGTAAAATGCACCTCCTTTGTGAACGCAGCTCGTATATGAACTCATTTTTGCATTTTCTACCATACTTTTAACCAATTGCAGGATTTTCAAGTGAACCTCACTTAGGCACACCACATATAACCTAAGAAAGATTACATTCATCAAATTTTTTTAATGGATTCACTTTAATTACGATCGTGAAATCTTCGTCAATAGACGACGAATATTTGATAGACGGACAGGCAGCTATGGCCAGGGAAAGCGTTACACGCGACAAGTTCTATATATGCGTGTCAGTGGCTGATATGATTCGTTTAATAGCGAAGAATGTCATAAAAAGATAATTTTGGGTGTGGCCAAGTTTTAAAAGGTCAACAAATTTGACTTCTTGATAGGATGAATGATAGGCGGCATAATTCGGACAATTTTCAATTTTTTTGCCTTAAAATTTGCAAAGTACAATTTGAACACAAAATTCTCTACAGCAATAAGTAGGATTCTTCCAATAAGTTAGTATACTGGTTAGTATTCTTAATTAAGAAAATAGTTTCCTTTATTTGGTCGAAAGCGGAAATTTTCCATTCAAATACGCGTCAATCGCGCAAAGACCCAGCATTTTTAAGATTCACTGCGTACTTCTTCAGACTTTACCGGAAAAATAATTTTTATTTTTTTTAAAATTTTTTTTTTTAGGTTCAACGAAGCCCCTTGCGTTAAAGATATTTTCAGAGAAAAGCCCCAGTGTTAATATTTTTCCAAAACTACCTTTCTCTTTATAAGACTGCGTAACCGCCCCGAATATTATTATTGCTCTGACTTTCGTTTCATTTCAAAAAAATTTGTTAAAAACCTCTTTTCTCTTAAGCTATATAGCGGTCAACGTGACGCGTAATAGTAAGTTTGTGAAAGTTTTGATAGAAGAAATTGGAGAAGAGAGAAATGGGCGAACAGACCTGGTTGATTAGCATTATCATTTTACGTCAAATAGAAATACATATCTATATATGTACTTCAGTGCATATGAACAGATATGATATATTTTCGTTTATGGGAAACATTTAACTGGAAAACTGGTCGACATTCGATGCTAATGACAAATACATGCTCATAGTCTATATCTACATCTAGTCTATATCTATCTATATCTAGCCTATATAGTATTATCATTATTTTGCAGTTATCTGCTGGTTTCGTTCATAAGCATGTATGTGACAATGATTTGATTATTGACCCGCCTTTCCTACTTTTATCCTCTTCTTGTTACTTCTTGTTCGCATTTCTCAACACATTAAGTCGAAATTGTTCTATGACGTTTGACTTTTTTGAGATTTCTTTCTTGTAACGCACGACACAGTTTATTTTTATAGTACATATGTGTGTAATTGTGATAACATATGTATTTGTATTGGCATAGCATATGTCCTTGTTCGCCCCTTTCTACCTCTATAACTACGTATTATTTCTGTCATTTGGTTTTTCTTCCTTCTTTTTTGAATACATTTGTCTCCTATACGTCTATGATAAACTTATCCAGCAAGGCAAGGCATCATTTGTTTTTATTGTATAGATTAAATACAGTTTGTGATAGCATTAAAAGAAAAAAGTTGAACATATTAGTTTAGTTTTACGCAAATAATATTATAAATAAGTATGTGTTGTTTTTACACGCACACAACAGGTTGGGAAGAAAGTGCTTATCGGCTTTGGTTTTTAAATATCATAAAACTTTTT